CCAGGAAATCAGGTCGTTGGGCGTTGGCCTTCGCCCTGAGGGAATCCTGTTAATATCGGAGACATGTCGGGGCGGCCATTTTCCGCAGTCGCCTTGGCGACCTGACCGCATGGCGGCAATACTCACTCTTAATATGGCCAACTTTTATTACTGCCACTCGCGTCCTACCTGGGTTGCTCCCGATGAGTGGCCATCAAGGCATGGCCGTCCACCCTCCCACCTCAGACAACCTCTACTTTTCCGTGCGAGGGAGTGATACGCTGGCCTACCCGTACAATCAGTCACCATTGAAGGATCCTCAGCGACTGCCACTTAAATATTGGCCTATTCTCAATACACATCAAGGACGCAGCCGACGAGACCGACCCTCGTCTGGTCACCCTACCATCTGCTTACGTTAACCCTACCCTATATTTCCATACTGGACGGTTTCTTGCTGGTCCCGGTACAATCCACGAAGAATCACGTCCGCCCTGCGGCTTATTCCGTTCCCCCCTTCAACGGACGCTGAGTCCAACTCAATTGTAAATTTCACACTTTTCCCCGCACCCACACGAAACGACGGCGCCCCGATTCGAGCATTCGTGCCTACCAGGGGGACACGCCGCATCGGCTGCCAGTTACACCTGTCCACGTTGTTCAGTTCTCAAAGAAAAAGAATGCCTCGCCGATTCGAGCCGGGAAACAGTCAAAGGCATTCAGACCGTTGCTGAGTGGCTCCGCTACCATCACGTTGGACCTGATTTCCTACCAACCCGACGGTGATGAATACCTGCTTGTGTGTAAACGACCGGACACCCGTTGTTCAGATTGCTGCAAAAGGACATTGAGGGCCAGGGCCTTGCGCTGACGGTACCTCGATGCATTCCCTGTGACAACAACGCCAGATCCGGTTACGCCACGGTGTCGTGGTGTGTGCCCCGGGATGTCTACTGTTCCCAACCTACTCCAGGGGTCAAGCGGATGGCCACCCTCAACGCAGCGGTGTGTTGATGTTGCCAGCAGGTTGAGGACGGCAGCACGCACTCTGCATTCCTACGCTACCAATATCGTTGTGACTCAAACGCGCCAATGCATCTCGATTGGCGTGCACTACCGAAGGACAGAACGTCTGATGGCGTCACACGTTGAGTCATCTGACCTTCGCGAACTGGACGGGTCGAGCACCGGCGAACTTAGCCGGCGCCTGACCCTCTGACCAGCGATGTCCTGAATGCAGCAGCGAAACCTCGTCGGCATTCCGTCAATCGCCGGCGACTTTAGTTACCGTGGATTTCGACTCACGGTATGGTTCAGTGCTCGATTTCCATTCATGGATTCAGGCATGGAATTTACTATTCGTGTTGGTGATAGATGCCGTCGGCCATGGGAGCGCCGGAGAATCTGGGCCGTTCGGCGTCGCCATCGCAAATCCCACACGGTCCCGGCCACCGAGGTCGCAGCATTCCATCCCACGGCAACCACGCACTGCCCGATAAACCTGTGAGGATGTACGTGACTATTTTCGCGTCGGCCCCACTGAGCGAGGATGAGGCGCCGACGACGCCATCAGCGGGTTTGCATCGCGAGACAACACCGAGAGAGAGATTGGAAGGAGTTTTTCTTCCCTCTGGATCCGAGCTGTGCGGACGCATCGCGTGTCGATCGCCACGTTTGAGACCATGAGCTACTGGACCCGGGCCGGATCAAGCGCGGCCTGGTCCCCAACCGGGAATTTGGCTACCCACTATTGCAGGGCGCCGTGCGGCGTAACCAGTGACTGCTGAGTTCCGCGACGCCCGGGGACAACCCCTCAAAGCAGGTTTGGCGCGTAGTTACCAAATTGGCCCGCCATCGCGGTCTCGAATTGATCCAGGTTGTTGGCGCCTGACTGCGCCGGTAGCCGGTTCATTGAATCCGCTGGTCGTAGATTTCGACCGCCCCCTGGGATCATGGCCTGCTGCAGCACTGTCTTTGGGTCAGAGATGCTGCGGGTGCGCCGATAGCAGGCCGGGGGGAATCCGGCCCGGCGGAGCGCAATTGGCAGTTCACACCGGCATTCCCGTGGAGTGCGGGTAAATACCAGCTCGTTATCGAACCGCACCTGGAAGACGTAGCTGGAAACTCCCCCGTTCGAGTGTTTGACCGGGATATTTCAAAACCCGAAGAGTCTCCGGTAGATGCGGTGCAGATTGCCGTCGATTTTCATTGTGCCGGCGCCGCGAGGCCAATGGGACGATGATCCGGCTAACCAGCGAGGGTTAACGCCGTTGGTTTCGCCCGACGGATGGTTGGGTTCCATGCCGGCCGCCTTCGACGCGAACGACTGTTTTTTCATTGCGCCGGTGGTCCATAAGGCCGAAGAACCGCGCCGGCAGTTGACGCAAGTCCACCCACACCGGCGTAAGAGTAAGATAGCATCCACTATCCAAACCTACGTCAGAGCCGAGGGAAGAACTATGAAGAGAAGCACGTCCAGGATTCTTACAACCCATACTGGGAGCCTGCCGCGGTCTCCCGAGCTTCAAGAGCTATTGCGGGACCGGGAGGAGCAGCGCGGGTTTGATGGAAACCAGTTTCAGGCCGGTGTCCGTGACGCAGTTGGGGAGGTCGTGTCCAGGCAACAGGAAACCGGGATCGACGTGGTGAACGATGGCGAGCAGGGCCGGTCGCAGTACGCTACTTATGTAAAGGAGCGTCTCAACGGATTCGACGGCGAGCGCCTCGTCCGGGCCCGCCCGCGACTGGACGACAATGATTTCCCGGAGTACGCCGCCACGCAGACCAGCCTTTCTTCTCGCAATATGCCCCAACCTGCCTGCACCGGGCCGATCTCCTGGAAGGACTGGCCCGCTATACAGCGCGACATCGAAACCCTACAGCAAGCGGCGGCGTCTGCAAGCGTGGAAGAGGTGTTCATGACCGCGGCTTCGCCGGGAGTCATCGCGAACTTCCTTCCCAACGAGTTTTATCCGACCGAAGAAGCCTATCTGTACGCCTTGGCCGAGGTGATGAAGGACGAATACAACGCCATCGCCGAGTCCGGCCTCATTCTGCAGATCGATTGCCCCGACCTGGCCATGACGCGCGTCTCCCAGTTTTCCCACCTGTCGGCGGACGAATTCAAGAAGATAGTGGAGTTGCACGTGGAAGTCATTAACTATGCCCTGAAGGACATTGACCCGGAGCGGATGCGGCTGCACGTTTGCTGGGGCAATACAGAAGGGCCGCACCACCATGATGTCCCGCTCAGGGAGATTGTGGACCTGGTACTACAGGCCAGGCCCTTGGGACTTGCCATCGAGGGGGCCAACCCCAGGCACGCCCACGAATGGAAAGTGTGGGAAGACATAGCGCTACCCGACGGCAAGCTATTAATACCCGGCGTGCTGGACACCACCACCAACTTTATTGAGCATCCTGAGCTGATTGCCCAGCGCATCCTCAACTACGCCAACGCAGTGGGACGGGAGAACGTGATGGCCGGCAGCGATTGCGGTTTTGGCACTTCAGCGTGGGGCCGAAAGGTGGAGACAAACATTGCCTGGGCCAAGATGGCTGCCATGGTTGAAGGCGCCCGGCTGGCTTCGCAGGAGCTTTGGTAAAGTTTTTGATGCGCTGGCAAAACGATGTCGGCTTGACTGGACGCCGGGGGTTGTCATCCCCGGCGTCGAGCCAGGTACATCTCTCGGCAGCGTGGACAGTTGGCGGTCTCACCAGTATCGACGCCGGCTTGTTGGGCCCTGCTCAAACCGACCGTGCGCTGGCTAGTAGGGTGCGTAGGGTAGCGGGATCGCCGTGATCCCCCAACCCTATGTACCCCGAGCGGCGGTAACCGTAATCGGCGACCGGGCTGAGACTAGGCGTCCAGGTGAATGGTGGCGGTTACCCTGGGAACATCACCGACCACGCGAGTGGTGTGGCCATGGCCCGTCAGATCTTCGGCAAGGTTGACGTCACCGGGACCCAGGCGGTGGACAGTGCCGTCGGCAAGCCCAATTTCCGCCTCGCCAGAGAGTGTGATGATGTACTGCCTTCGGGGGGCAATGTGCCAGTCGCTGAAATACCCTGGCGGTGAAGCCCTGAATATGATCCCTTTGGCGTTCTGTAACTGGTTCCACGCCGGATGGTCGGCCGGGTCAATCTCTTCAATGTGGGATTGGCCATCGTCGCCCGAATACAATCTTATCGATCCCATAGTTGCTCCTGTCGTGTCGAGATTTCCCCTCGAATCTTAACACGGACACGGGATTTTCGCTCGGGAATTATTGGCCAAACCGGAGTAATGCCAACGTTTCGATGGACATGAAACACAAACTAGCCTAGCATAACGACAATGATGGCAGAACTACCTACGAGAATTCTGGGCCGTACCGGTCTGAATGTCACCACATTGGGTTTCGGCGCTTTGGAACTACGGTCCATGGTCGCCGGCGTGGGGCGGCCGTTGTTGGCCGACCAGCCGGCCAATATCCTGAACGCCGTGCTTGATGCCGGAATCAACTACATCGACACGGCTGTGGATTACGGGGAGGCCGAGGAGCACATCGGTAACAATATCTCCCACCGCCGGTCTGAATTCTACCTGGCCAGCAAATGCGGTTGCCCGCTGGACAACGCCGTTTTCAGCCCTGCTGAACGCACGAGATTTGGCGTCCCATTGCCCCGGTTTCATAACTACGCCAGAGACAGCATCGTCAACGCCTGCCACCAAAGCCTCGGCCGGATGAAAACCGACTACCTCGACATTGTGCAATTCCACTTCAGCCCGGCGAGAGAATTGTTGGAGCAGGAAGGGGCCATCGAGACGCTACAGGACCTGAAAAAGCAGGGGAAAATTCGGTTCATCGGGTGTTCCTCGATTCTCCCGAACATCTTCGACCACATAGAAATGGGCGTGTTCGACGTATTGCAGGTTCCGTACTCGATTCTGCAACCCGAACACGCCGAAGCGATCGCATCGGCTGATTCGGCGGGGCTCGGCATCGTCATACGCGGCGGGGTGGCCCGTGGGCAGCCGGGAGCCGGACAGGGGGCCGATGAAGTATGGGCACGATGGGAGAAGGCGGAATTGGATGATCTGTTGGAGGGGATGACGGCCACCGAGTTCCTGCTTCGGGCTACCATCTCCAACCCCGATGCCCACACCACGATTGTAGGCACCCTCGATCCTTCCCATCTGCGAGACAACGTCGCCGCAGCTCTGAAAGGGCCGCTGGCAGACGATGTTCTCGAGGAAGCCAAACTCCGTCTTCGATCAGTGGAGTCAGCGTCGCGGCCGTGACTGGATCCGGAACTATCTGACTACGGCCCACTTTGAACCAGGCGCCGCCGGGCGAGTTGCCCGGCTGATCTCCTGGAGAACTGCCGCGCTACGTGGACGGACCGTAGCCGGGGAGCCTGGCCCAGGTCAGGCCATTGGGGTCATGAGCCAACTCCACCGCCTTGCCTTTGGAGTCTTTCAATCCCAGAGGGTGTTGGACCAATTCGATCATGTTCCCGTCCGGATCGTTAATGTAGGTCGAATGTCCGCTACTGTAGGCGCGAACGGTCGGCGGGGAGTACGGAACCTCTAACGCGTCCAGGTTGGCGATCATCTCTTCCCAGTCGTCAATCTCCAGAGCGAAGTGCCCAGACGGGCTTGGGTTCGCGGTATGAGTGCTATGGATTTCGCCGCTGCCAATCCGCAATTGTAGCTGCCTCTGGTTGAGTTCCGGCCCACGGTCCAGGAACTCTGCGCCCAATACCTTTTCGTACCAATCACGGGTGCGTTCCTTGTCGCTAATCTGGATATTGATGTGCTGAATCATCGTGACCCTTGACATAGCTTCACCGCCTTTAGATCCAGGTTGGCATCCTTTCGAGGGACCGTCGATCTTTTGGGCCTTGCGTACAGGATGCTGTGCGCAGCACTATACCACCAGAAAGTACGAACAGAATGTACGAACGTCGGCATGGCACGTAAGTGATGCAGACGTGCGGCGGCATGCGATGTGTCACCGGATTGCAGGCGCCAACCGTGGTCGCCTTCACGACCGTTAGCGAACGCCATGTTATGATTGGCTGGCGGTTGAAAAATCATGCCCCTTTCTGGATGGCCCTTTTTAGAGGAGGACTCGGCAAATGGCGACAGGCGCTCAAACATGGACCGAAGATTACGTAGAGGTCGCAGGCACGAAGCTCCAACTGGTTAAAGGAGGGAGTGGCGACCCGTTACTATTACTCCACGACGAGTTGGGCCACTACGGTCTGCGTAGATATCAAGAAGCCCTGGCCCAGGATTACACGGTTTACATTCCTTCCCACCCCGGATTCGGCGGGACCGAGCGCCAGGAATGGATCATGAACATTCGTGATCTGGCCGGCTGGTACCTGGAAGCCATCGAAGACCTGGGGCTGGAGCAGGTCAATTTGGCCGGATTCTCGCTGGGCGGCTGGCTGGCCGCGGAGATGGCCACGATGTCGCCCAACCTGTTCAAAAAGCTGGTTTTGGTGGGCCCCGCTGGTATCAAGCCACCCACCGGTGAGATATTCGACATGTTCCTGGCGGTGGCGAAGGATTATCTGACGGCAGGCTTCCATGACCCGGATAATACTCCGGAGTTCCGGCACGTTTGCCCCGACGAACCCACCGCGGAATTGAACGAGGAGTGGGACGTGGCTCGTGAAGAGGCTTGCCGGTTGAGTTGGCGGCCTTATATGTACTACCCCGGTCTCCCCAATCTGCTCCACAGGCTCAAGAGCCTGCCTACCCAGATTATCTGGGGGCGCGAAGATAACATAGTGCCCATCAGCGCCAGCCAGGTGTATCACGATTCGATTCCGGGTTCCCGTGTGAGCGTGCTCGAAAATTGCGGTCACCACCCCGAACTGGAAAAAACCGACGAATTCGTGGCTTTGGTCAAGGGATTCCTGTCGTCTTAAACGCACCTCAGTTGGTGATTCCCCTGCTATGGTAGAATCCCACCAGTAGCCGGAAGCGGAAGGAGAAGCGATATGTTCATTGGATACTTCACCGAACGGCCGTACCAGGATCCCAAATCCGGGTATTTCGGGGCCACCGGAAAACCGATCATGGACCTGGACGTCAGCAACGATATCTACGATGCCCAGTTGGGGGCGCACCTCTACAACCGCTATCTCGACGAGAAAATCTACGCCGAGGAGATGGGTTTTGACGGCCTGATGCTCAACGAGCACCACAGCACGCCGTTCTGCATGGGCGGGGCTATGAACGTGGAAGCCTCCATTCTCGCCCGCATTACTCAAAGGGCCAAGATAGTGCTGCTGGGCAACATCATCCCCATTTGGGATGACCCCCTTTGGCTGGTAGAACAGCTCTCCATGATTGACATGATCTCTCGCGGGAGGCTGGTATCCGGATGGGTGCGCGGCACTGGCCGGGAGAGCGTGGCACACAACGTCGAGCCTCATTACAACTGGGAGCGGTTCAAGGAGGCCCACGAACTGATTGTTAAGGCCTGGACGACGCCCGGCCCCTTCCGCTGGGAAGGCAAGCACTACCAGTTCCGCCACGTCAATCCCTGGGTGAAGCCATACCAGAAGCCTCATCCCCCGATTTGGCTACCGGGCGTGGTCAGTCGCGATTCCCTGATGTGGGCGGCAGAACAGCGTATCCCCTACATCATGCTGGCAACCGAGATGGAGCCCACCAAACAGGCTTTCCAGCTTTACCACGACACCGCGGCAGAGTTGGGTTATGAGTCTGGCCCGCAGAACATTGGGTACCTCTGGAAAGTCCACGTGGACGAGACGGAGGAGCTGGCTGAGGCCACTGCCCGGAAGTACGTGCAGGGACCCAGCAACCCCTTCCTGGCCGGCAACGAAGGCACCGTTAACCCAGCGCTGCTCAGCCTGCCTGGGCTGACTTCGCGCCGGCGGGTGCTGCCGACGCAGGCTGTGGCGACCCAGGCCCGGGGCGGAAACGCCGGTCCCGGCGGCGTCCTGGGGCGGCCATACGAGCAGCAGATCGAGGACTACACCATCATCTCCGGTACGCCCGACAGCGTGATACCAAAGATTCGCCACGTGCTGGAAACCATCCGCCCCGGCAGCATTTTCTTCTGGGACGGCGACGGCGCGATGACCCACGACGACGCCATGCGAAGTCTGCGGCTTATGGGACAGGAAGTCCTGCCTGCGGTCCGCGAAATTGCGGACGAGCTGGAATTGCCCGGGCCTTTCGAAGTCGATCCCGCCACCGGGAATCCCTACGTGGCTGACCCGCCAGTAATGATTCCGACCGGAGACGGTTACACGAACCCATAAACGCGTTCCCCTTTGGTAATTTTGCTTGACCTCTCCCGGAATCGGGAGAGGTCATTAGTTTGTCGGGAAATAGCGCTTGTTTCGCGCTGCGGGTTCCGGTGCGACGCAACACCAAAGCCGACCAGTCCAAGCCACGACGCGTGACTATGTTTACCCTTATGCGTTCATGGAACGCACGGCGTGGACGTGTCCCAACGCCGGCAACACGCCAAATTGTTACCGACTATTGGTCGCGAAATACCTCTTCGCCACGATGGAGCCGCAGGGCAATCTGGTAGGTCTGGCCGACAGCTCGGGGGGTCGGCGCATGGGCGGCCAGGAACCGAGCCATACCAATCAGAACGTGGCGGCCCGATTCGGTACCCCGTCGCAGCTGGTACTGCTTGAATCCGGCATCAACAATCTGGAACGAATGAAATCCGGCATCCTCCATCAGCATCCCCCGGCCCAGAGTTGCCAGGAGCGCGTCCGGCTCTCCGGAACCAGTGATGTATTGGGATACCAGGGCCGACACCTCCTCAACCTGTTGCCGAACGTCCATGTGTTGCAGCAATTGCCGCAGAATCCCGTCGTCATCCACCATATCGTTGCCGGTATCTGGAATACGCTGCGGGGGCATGTTGAGAAATCGGTCCAGGTAGATACTCATTGCTACGTCAAACACTCCCCGCATCAATTCCAGCGAGGGGGCGCGCTTCAACGCCTGGTGCAGCGCGTTGGCCGCCGTCAAAGTGTTGTGGACGGTGTCCCAATCGTTGAATTCGTTTGACGTGTGAAAGTGAGCCATTCTCAAAAAAGCGGCGTATGCCAAAGCTGAGCCCAGGTCGTCCGCAGTCGCTCCACACTTAATAGCGTCTTTGATGGCATCGATAATGTCAGCCGGCGATTCGCTCAGCAGTTCCGAAGCGAGCGCGTCGGGGCCTTTCCATGCCGCACCGTTGCCGAGACCTTGTTTGTACAGTTCGGGAAGTTCTGTTCTGGCTTGCCAGACCATCGAGGCCAGGTCAATTGGTTGACGCCACGAGCTCAATTCCTGGCTACGCCGGGCGTGCGCCATTCCGTGAACCAGGCTGGTCAGCACCTGACTGGCGTACTCCCAGCCGATGTGGTCCAAAAGCTCGAATGCCTTGTTGGCAAAGTCCACCACGTGACCGGCGTCCAGATAGATGTGGTCCGTGGCGGCGGCGAAAATCATTTCCGCGACATCGCGGGGCGCAAAATCCAACCGGATCGCAGTCTGTAAACAACGCTCGGCAGCGTCCTCGTCGCGGACATCGATAAAGCCGCGGAACCATTGTTTGAATACATCGGGGCGCGTTTCCCCAGTTGGTAGCGGCTCCACGACAAAGCGAGGAGGTTTGCCAGCACACTCTCTGGCCACCTGGAGCAGACCCTGGTACACCGCCACCGGACGGTCGTGTTCCTCCAGGTGAGGCAGTATGTTGGCCGTCGCAGTCAGAATAGTCATGGCAGGACCCCACCCGGCCGAGGTGTAACTGGTCCCGAATTTGGCGCCAACACGTAGCGGCTCGCTGTAATCGGCGCCTGCGGAGTGCAGTCCCAGAACGGACTTGGCGACTACGAGTCGGATATTGTGCTCTAACCCATCCTGCAACCGGCCGGACCAATGTGTAACTTCGTTGCGCTCAACGGGTCTTGGATCCACCCAAACTTCGTCTCCGACTACGTTTACGGTGAAGCTGCGAACGTCATCGGCGAACGGGTTGAACGTGCCGCCGCTGGAAAGATCAAACCGGGCATGGTGCCAGTGGCACGTCAGGATGCCGTCCTTAACGCTGCCCCGATCCAGGGGGAAGCCCATGTGGGGACAGCGATTATCCACCGCATAAAATCTCCCGTCGTGGTAAATCACTGCAATGGTGTGTCCACCTCCGGTTATCACCCGGCATCCACCCGCCTTGAGCTCCCCTACCCTCCCGGCCCTTATTTGTCCTTCAAGCTTCGTGGCCATGATGACTACCTCCCGGTCTGACAGAAGTACACCAGCGGACTCGAACATACCCTAGAAATCTGGCCGGAAACCCCGATTCTCCCCAAGCCGTTATTTTCTTGGCGTCGATTACCGATGTAATGATGGGGTCTTGAAACGTATTGCATACACTATCACGCCGTATATGACTGTAATACGTCTGCTTGGCGTAGTGCAAAACCCGGCCGATGGCTTTCCGGCCAGACCTCTAGCATCACCTCCCCGTTATAGGGAGGCCGAAAACCAGCATTGCGATCAAATTGTTTGTTACGACGCGGATTTGGATTTTTTGATTGAGGTGGCGATCACTTGAACCTGGGGACTACATTCTCAGTCAGCATTCGCACGGAGGCCATTACCCGATCGTTGGGTATCTGGCCGCCATAGTTTGTCTCCAGCACCACGCCGGAAATGTCTAATTCGTCCCGATATTCTTCCAGCCGTTCCGTGACTTCCGCGGGGGTGCCGAACATTACTCTCTGCCGCAGAATCTCTTCGTATGGGATGTTTGCCATCCGCCGCAACCGTTCCACTCCTTCCTCGCTGGCCGCCGTTTTGATGAGCTCGGTAGCCGCGTATTGGATGGCATGGATGGCGCTGTTTTTTGGATCCGCTTGTGCTTTGGCGGTAGTCTCGGCCACGTATGCGGGGATGCGAAGTGTTACCTCGCCAGGCCACTCGAATCCGGCCTCCTGCCGTGCCGTCCGGTAGAGCTTGAGCCGTTCTTTCAAGACGGGAATTCCCGTTGTTGCGCTGATGAAGATGGGATGGCCCAGTTTCCCCACGATCGGGAACGTGTCTTCCGAGGCTACGGCGATGCGTGTCGGCGGGTAGGGTTGCTGGAAGGGCTGAGGGACCACCTGCACATCGTCGTAGGAGTAGAAGTCTCCTTGGTGAGAGAAACTGCCCCCTTTCCACGCCTTCATAATTACCTGGAGGGCTTCGAAGAACCGGCCGCGGCTTTCGGAATAAGGAATGTTGTACCCCTGGTAGTACTTGGTGAGGCCGCTGCGTCCAATGCCAAAATCGAAGCGCCCCTTGCTGATGTGGTCCACGGTGGCCGCCTCCTCCGCCACCCTCAGTGGATTGGTCAGGGGCAATACCTGCACGGCCAGTCCCACGCGGAGAGTCGAGGTACGCGCGGCAATAGCGCTGGCTATGATCAAAGGTGAGGCCAGCACCGACCGGTCGGGAGTGAAATGGTGCTCGGCAAGCCAAACCGAGTCCATACCCATTTGCTCGACCTCCGCCACCTGACTAAACGACTCCTCGAAGGCTTCTGCCTGGCTCATATCTGCGCGAACGTGAAAGTCGGTGAACATACCGAAGTTCATAACCTACTCCTTGGTGAGAATGGGGCTTTTCGGCAACGAGTATGGTTTGGGCTCATGGGGCGCGGTGGGTCGAGGATACACCGGGGTTTCAGGGGAATCAACCAACGGACGTATCGGCTAGGGTGTTTCGATTGTCCCCTAATGATTAACGACAATTAGTTCTGCCTGTTGCCTCACCAGAGAATGTTACCGAAACTTTAGCACTTGGAATCCGCTCCAATCAACGCCAGTTCCGGCAGTCGACTGGATGCCGCTGACGCTTCATCGGTCCCAGCGTAGACCAGCTTTTTGGCCATGATGCCGCGCCACTCTTTCACCCGGCGTTGCATGGTTCGCAACTGTACCTCGGTGAAACGGTCCGGGTGTTCCAATTGCAACCTGGCCATCAGCGCTTTGCCCGTGGCATCCGGTTCGGCGTGCAACCACACCAGCACCTTACCCAAACGCCCTCGAAGGGATCCTTACGGGTACGCCAGTGCCGGGGACCTCGCCCGCGAGCCGCGTGAGTAGGTCGCACCTCACCCTGGCGCCACAGCCTCGGCAATTTGGCGAGGAAATATTCGAGGCTTTCAGTAGAGTACCGGGAGGTGGTGTAAAAGAATCGGTGTAGCCCAAAGCTAACCACCGCGTCATCCTTGATCGGAAGTCATAACCCAGAACAAGGAGAACGACGGTGGTCAAGCAAAGAATGGATCTTTTGGAATTATTACGCAAGCGTGGTATGGACGGAGACGTGGACTTGCTGCGGGAAGCACTGCGGGTCCTGGTGGACGGCATCATGGACGCCGAGGTTTCCGCCCAGATCGGCGCTCAGCACGGCGAACGCAGCCCAGAGCGGGTCACCTACCGCAACGGCTACCGCAACCGCACCTGGGATACCCGGGTGGGCACCATGGAGTTGCACATTCCCAAGCTGCGGGAAGGCAGCTACTTCCCCAGCCTGCTGGAACCACGGCGGCGCAGCGAGAAGGCTCTGCTGTCGGTGATCCAGCAGGCCTACGTGGAGGGAGTCTCCACCCGAAGGGTGGACGACCTGATCAAGGCCCTGGGTTGCGACGGCATCTCCGCAGCCAGGTGTCGCGCATCTGCGAGCACAATGGTGAAGTAGTGGACGTTCCTGGGTCGGCTCTGGACGGTGGTCCTCTGACAGGGGTAGGTATGGGCTGAAATCGGG